CGAGTTGACCAACCCTATTAAAATGTCACGTGAATCCTTTTTGAAGAAGTTCACCTGACGAAAATTCTGGTCATACATTCACATTGAAATGAGTCACACCGACTTCAGTTAATTTCCCATTCAAATCTGCGACAATGATGCCACTCATCTGCTTATCGGTGCTCATCTAATCTGCTAATCCATCGATCAACGGTTTGAACGAATAACGCTTTTGATTAGTCGGAAACAGATCGCGTTGCGATTGGCGCAAAATCGTCAATGCTTCTCTAACTAACGGTCAAAAATCAAGTGAGTGTCTTCATCTGGTAGTTCTGGAAAATAATTTCACAAAACACTTTCATGCACCTGGTTAAGGAACTATGGAGAATAACCAGATCTGCAGTAGACGAACGATATAGGTCATCATGTTTAAAACGCATTTATTTCGCTTTTGTAGTTTGCAGTTGAAGAGTTGGACGGCCTTATACAAGCCTACGTGCCAATCCGTAAGTTCTATATCTACAGAATTACTGCCACATTCTGTTTCCAGTTAATTTGCTCGTGATTTCCAGCATACTGCACAATTTTCGCGTTGTACTCGTACGAACAATGGTTTGTCGTTTCAAATCACAGGTGTCTTCGAACCACCGCAAACAAACAGCACATTCGTGCTGCGCTAATATGTCCATCGGGGCATTGTCTTGCTGGAGGAATCTGTGTTTATGTGGGGCATTTCATACAATCGCCGCGCCACACACACGCAAAACTCAGTCAGATCAAATGTGGAGCAAAGAGGGATGCCGGCCTTTTATATCGATGTGTATGCCGGGACCATCTGACATGAAACCTCCTAATATCAGTACCAAAGTTAAACCTGAGGTGGTTTGTTGCAGCAATCCAGTTGGGAAAACATCATGAACGAGACGCCCGGTTGGGATTCGAATGAATCTCCGGTGAAAGACAAATTGGTGTGCAACTAAGTGCATCTGTCCAAAAATCCAGTTGGATCACAGAATGGTTAAATTGTGTTTTGTTCCCTTCCACAGAATCGAAGATGCGATTGGCATGATGTACTCGCTGGTGCTCCAACCAACAACCGTTTCAAGATGCGGATCCGTGCCTCCACCCAGAACACATTCTTGTGGCGCCATCAAATTACAACTGCATCAACTCCATCATCAAATAGTCAGTATAAGCCCATTGTCCATGCAGGCCCTATTACCTACGGAAACTCGTATCTCCGATTTGTATCCTTCCATGTTTCGCTTCTGACACAACGATGAGCAGTAGTGTTTCTGATATCGTTCCATTGTGTGCATTGTAAAACGAGAGTGACGGCTACTCATTTCCGTAGGTATGCAATCACGAGCTCCATTTATTTTAATCAGCCGCGATTACGTCACACGTTTTACGAATAACGAGGACTTGATTTTCATCAATATCACAGTATCTACATAATTTTAACCTTACATCATCTAGTGCGCCACGCCGCTATACATCAGACCATATTGGTTTCTCACCCGGTTGAAAGCTTTTAAGTTCGAAAATGTAAGTTTCCGTCACTGAAAACAGAGAGATCACTATCCTAAAGCGTATTCCATAAACGAAATCCGATTCTGTCAGCTATGTTTACGTTGACTGGGACAGCAAGAAATTCGGAAAATTCCAAGGCATAAATTTCTGCCGAATATGATATGACTAGAATGCACAAGGATTGGCTAGGCAAGCAGTCTGTCCAGAAAATAAAGCGATGCACATTCATCATGTGTTCGTTTCTTAGGGGATATGTGTAGATGAAGAAACGATTGCTGTGCGCAAACGCTTCACCGGTATTCTGAATTAGACACCGGGCAAGTCCTACCAATATATTGACGCGCCATATTTTTCTACACAACCACATTGCATTTTAGATTCTTCCTGCTGCACTTGGGTTAGTAGCATAGAGTTATCGCTAATTGCACATGGTAAAGGATCTTCTGAGTCAGGCACTGAAATGTTTTATCTAATTTAGATAGTGTAACATAGCAAATGAATAACCGTTTGTTCCCAAGCCATGTCAGTCCCCACTGCTCTCAACTTCAATACCAGCATATACCTGTTTAACTTTTCATGTTACTGATGGGGCATGCTAATAGTTATTTGTCCCTCATCCGCTTCGCGTTTCCTGAGACGTGCGATGTTTTACGGACACTGTGGAGTCGCTTTGTGGCATTTGATTGCATTTGATTTGCAGGTAATGAATACCCAGAAAGGTTCAGGAAGGCGCGTTCAAAGAGGAGATGGATATTCGGTTTTTTAAACAAGTTTCAAATGAGGGTTTTGCTCAACTGACAATAGTTTGTGAGTGTTCAGTTAATGTTTCTCTAATAAGCAACTACACAGCGAAGACCTTCTTCTTCCCTTTGTAACAAAGCTTTCATAGATAGAATAAAGTGAATCTTTTCGTTCAATAAGCAATTACCGTTTGTCTTCCATTTGCGTAACCATGCTTCGTTATGGTCAGATGTCCCGGTAGCAGCGAACCACGAATGGAAATGCAGTTTTGCTTCGAGTCGACCACATCGACACCCAAGTTTTGGCCCGAAAAAAATTCGCGGTTCATTTTGCCCAATCTCGCGGTAGTGTGCCCTGACGAATCACTCAGTATCCTTCGCACACGAAGTAGATTGGAACATGCATGTGCACAATCGTCTGCATTTAGGGTATACAGTTATCTCGTAAATTTTTGAAAATGAAATATTCGGCAGTCTCGTACAACATTTGAGTGGACGTTACTCCCTAGATCTAACTTGCGAGAGCTTGAAAATCGACAAACCTGATCGATTTGTCTCAGTTGTACATTTTGCGGCGAATTTTGAGGTACTTTGAGTTCTCTATTACGCAACACTTTCCACATTTGGGGCACTCAATTACCTCGGCAGCAATAGTAGATGATCTCCTGCAATATTTCAGTGAGCATTGCTCCGTAGATCACAACTGCCAGGGCTTTACAATGGAGAATCAAGTGTGAGAAGCCTAATTTGTACATGATTAGGCGATTCTAGAGCTACGTGGTGCTCTCGATGCGCCGCTGTCCTTGAGTTTGGTGGATTTAACTGGGGTGTTATAAATCACACTGGGTTTACTCTCGCTATCCGTAAATCGAAAGGATGGATTTTGTTCCTAAACGTTGCCCAGACGGACCGTTTTGAACGTGAGAACGTGTTTCTCACTGATATCTGCATTTCAGCCGTGCAATTCCTGTGTGTTTGATTGCGGCAAATAGTGAAGACTGAGTCGCTGATTGAGGCGACTGGAGATTTTGGCTGATGGCCTTTGGTGGACATTCAAGATTTCTGGTCTAATGATGATGAAGAGTTTACGGGACAATGACTGAGTCCAGCGAGCGACTCAACCGCTTCGTGAACACTAAACAGTCGCTTGCGAAGCACTGTTTCACCAAGACGTCAACGTTCTTCCTACGAGAGACCCCTTTGGTTTGAAGAATTCGGTCCCCCATCGAATCGGAGCTTTGCCACGTAATGAGATATGCAGTGAGTTACGAACTGGTTAGCTATTCTTGTTTCATCGTCTAGACTAGTTAGCCGCTCTAGGCTTTGTCATTTTGTGATCAACTGAAATATTTCAATTCCGTTTATTATAAACAAGTTTTTCGTACCTCTTTTAAAAGGATGCGATGTTGTGTACTCTCGCATATAAACTAGACAACAGTTGATAAATGGAATCACGGTCCACCGACGCTGGATGACAGTTTATTCTATGTTATAACCCAGCTATCGAGTTTTCACGTCCCCGGGAAATTTCAGGTAATACTGTACATTAGCCCTCCCCATTAGTTTGAGCTTTCTTACTCATATTCCCATGGGCCAAATAATACCAGATTTGTATGAAACATTGGTGCTGGACGCGAAGCCTCATAACCGTGCCTGTCTGTGCTATTTCTTCCAACCAGTTGCTGTGAATACCCGGTTGTTCAACAAAAGGCCGCCTACAGATGAGGGAGGGAATATCCGCTTCGCTGAATCTCCCTCGCAAGGGTCATATAAATGTGCCAACTACCTCAAAACCTCATTCACATGAGGTGGTTTCACTTCCTGACGCGGTTTGATGTGTCTCGACATTAGGTGATCATGGATTCAAGATCACGTTTTAAATCTCGTTTATCTACGGCTTAAGTGTACTCAGTTCCGAGCTGCTTGTTTGCGTCAACCGTGCAGTCAATCGTAGTCCTCAACCATTGCACTGACAAATGACACGCGAAAACCGAAACATCGCCATCATTGTCATCCTCGTCATCATCATTATCATCAACGTCATCATCACCATCATCATCATCGAAGCCACCAGAGAATCACCATTAGATTTGATACTGATTGCTGATTTCCTCATGCATTACCATGGATTCAGAATTAACCTCGGAGAGACTAAGAGCAGGCCTGCCACAACGATACACCAAATCCTCCGTCATAAGCCTGGAATACCGTTGGTACGAAAATCACTTGGATCGGTTGGATCCTCCTACTTACATCGTCCTTGTGAAGCTCGAATCTAATCACATGAGACTTGTGCTGCACAAAATACTCCCAGTTGCGTTTGGTCAGTTTCCTTTGGAGGAGCTAGTGAATCTGGCACGAGGATTGGCCGATGCACTGTTGACCATGTTGCAGCTGCAGTTGAAAAGAAATGGTTCGACAGTGGACGAAATGCAGACCAAAAAGGCCAACCTGTCGAACGGCTTGCAGTATGGTGATCCTTCTGACCAGCGTATATTAGTACTTTCTTTGTAACTTATCATTACTCAAAGTGTATCACTTTCTATCTCTCATTAAATCTCAGCTTATTCCTCTTTTCTTCATACCGCATAGCTTTCGTTTAACTGAACACAAAAAGAAATATGACACAATACAAATTCTGTACCTCGTGAAAGGCGTGTTCCCTTCTTGCTGTGTCGAATTACGCTGGCAGTGAATTAACGAGCGGTGATACACCTTTCAGACTACGACGGGATAGAAAGTATCTAGGAATATATCAAGGCAGATTCCAGGAAGGAGATCGATTTGGATTTATTGTGGTGGTAATAACTAACTGTACCAACGAACTGTGAGTTGTATCATCTCGCCTATTTTTTTCACTTGATTTCACTACTATGAACCGGTATTTGCTCACGTTATCCACTACAGCAACCATGATGACGGAATCGCGGAGGTGCGCTAGAACGATCCGGTGCTACAAATGTGACAAGCCTGGGTATTGGAAGAATCAATGCCCTCGTACCCGAACACCTGTACATAATAAACATTTCGATTACTGCTCTTTTTGCGTGCTGGTTGCGATGAGCGCACTGTCACAAGCTGCCATACAAACCGTCATTGAGATAGACGGTAAGAGGGAGTTGTGCTTGATTGATACAGGAGAGCGCGTTTCGCTGAGACGGGGACGGAACCAAGCTAAATACAGACCACGCACACCAGCCGCGAGAGCCGTGGGTGGATATTGACTGATGATTGGCGGATTGTCAATGGACTCGATACGCCTGGGCGACAAGTCCCTGTAGCACGCGTTCCTGATTAGCCCAGACATAGAACAGACAGTATGGGGGGTAGATTTACCCAAGGGCAGATATTCTCATGTCGACCTAACCAGGGAAAGCTGGTGACAAGTTATGGCTCAATCAAGATTGAAGGTTATCCAAGCATTGTCGTTAGTGAGCTGCCTGCCCGAAATCTTCCATCTTGCAACGTAAGGTCAATACGGTCCGAGGTCATGGAATATTCTGAACTGTCCACGAGCAGTGAGGATCAGTTTGGTTCCTGCTCGTGGATTGAACACGAAATCCCCCGTCTTCAGAATGCTTTCGACTGTTTTCGATCCTCGATTAGGGACCTTGATTCGAGAGCTGAGAGTTAAGGAATTGCATGCAGAAGCTTGGTATCAGACGGCTAAGGACGGCGTCAACAAACAAACAATTGGCCAAACTGAACGTAATAAACGAACGATCTTAGAGTGGCTGGTGTTCAAAGGAGGTGACTGGAAAATGGACTTGCTAATGGTGTTGCAAGCTCATCGTGTTGCCATACAACCAACGACAGGCAAGCTCCCGTTTATGCTGATGTACTCCAGACATCCACGCCTTCCGGTTGACCGGGAAATTGGGTTGTGCCCGGCAACAAGCTTTTACCCGGAGGATGTTGAGAAAGGAAGAAGAGAGCTCGAGAAATCTTGATCAACGTTCCGGAAAACACTATGCAGAGACCGGGAAGCGGAAATCACGGATGTTCCCCATAGATACGAAGGTCAAGTGGAAAGATCATTGGAATCCCGGAAGGAGTGGACTGGGGTCACAAAGGCTAGGCAATTCAAGATGGTCAGGGTCGAAAAGAGTCGACCTAACCAGGGAAAGCTGGTGACAAGTTATGGCTCAATCAAGATTGAAGGTTATCCAAGCATTGTCGTTAGTGAGCTGCCTGCCCGAAATCTTCCATCTTGCAACGTAAGGTCAATACGGTCCGAGGTCATGGAATATTCTGAACTGTCCACGAGCAGTGAGGATCAGTTTGGTTGCTGCTCGTGGATTGAACACGAAATCCCCCGTCTTCAGAATGCTTTCGACTGTTTTCGATCCTCGATTAGGGACCTTGATTCGAGAGCTGAGAGTTAAGGAATTGCATGCAGAAGCTTGGTATCAGACGGCTAAGGACGGCGTCAACAAACAAACAATTGGCCAAACTGAACGTAATAAACGAACGATCTTAGAGTGGCTGGTGTTCAAAGGAGGTGACTGGAAAATGGACTTGCTAATGGTGTTGCAAGCTCATCGTGTTGCCATACAACCAACGACAGGCAAGCTCCCGTTTATGCTGATGTACTCCAGACATCCACGCCTTCCGGTTGACCGGGAAATTGGGTTGTGCCCGGCAACAAGCTTTTACCCGGAGGATGTTGAGAAAGGAAGAAGAGAGCTCGAGAAATCTTGATCAACGTTCCGGAAAACACTATGCAGAGACCGGGAAGCGGAAATCACGGATGTTCCCCATAGATACGAAGGTCAAGTGGAAAGATCATTGGAATCCCGGAAGGAGTGGACTGGGGTCACAAAGGCTAGGCAATTCAAGATGGTCAGGGGTCGAAAAGAGTATGTGGGACGCAGGTTCGTAAGTGGCACGACACACCGAAGGTGCGGCCAAGTAGACCCGCTGAAGAAGCCCACTGAGGTGGGGGGTAAAGGAAAGTCTGTGGCATGCAAACTACCTTTAAGATATCGGCCTGAATCCTGAAATCATTGTACAACTCATTGGTATTTGAAAGTATTTGAAATGAAAAACTGCTTAGGCAAATTGTGCCCGCTGCTAATCGATGATACTGCGGTTCTATTGTCGTCTACGTGAGGCTCATGTATATATCCCGCAAAGATATGGCGTTTCGCGTACACATTGGTACAACTGGTGTCGCACGTCAGCCGTGTTACATTTTAAGATACATTGACTAGATGACATACCGCACCATGTCCAAGTTGACCAATTGGAATTCTGGGTTGTGTCTGAGAACAGGCACAGCGACGGCGTTCTCATTTCTGCAGCCTGGAGGAGGGAAAACGTTGTGCCGTTTTTGCCCAGGTGTTGGCACGTTAACTAGTTTAGCCGTTAATCAAGTTCATATGCTCAAATATTTTGTGGCATAGTTTACGTGAAGCATCGGGTAGCTACGCAAATCCAAGCAGATTCTCTTTTCAGATGCGCTTTACTCGAGCGGAGATATGAGCTTAAACGGTCGTTCCCCGGTCTGCAACACACCATTTGATTCGGAATATGTTCGACTGGAAAGAGCGACCGACACATAATTTGGCTGGGTTAAAGCGTCGGTAATTAGGTTTTAGAGTCTCACGGAACTTCACTCTTAACGTGATTCTTCAGTTAAGCATTGGAATAAAACAAAGAAACAGGAAGATGCTCGAATCTGCGTGTCAACGTGATTCTCATCATTATCTGCAATCCAATGCTGCAGTTCATGTGGTTTTGATTTCAGCAAAACGCTGCGATTAAGGCGCAATGGAGCGTTTGTCTGTTTGTATTAGTTGGACACTGAGGATTTCTACTCTAACAATGGTGAAACGTGTGCGCGACAATGGCAGACCTCTCCGAACGACTCAACCGCTCCCTGTACAATAAACAACTAACGCAGACGGGGTGCGAGCGTAAAGCTGTATGTCACTGACGAGGCACCCCATTAATCTATGGACTGCTATCTAAGATTCGCCTCACATCTGACGAAGGGAGAAAATTACCGCGGAACTTATTGAACGGCTTTTAAGTGATTACTGTTCCAAAACTCTGTGGAGATCGGGTGTTTGCTTACGTTTTGCATGGCTTGTTCCAGCCTAGTTGGTGTTTGGTGAGAAACGGCTTCACCAGTGCTTCGCTGCACTGCTTGCGAAGCCATCCTCCATCTAGATGGCAACTACGTCCAGTGAGAAATCCCTTTGGTGTGAAGAATTCGTTCTCTCATAAACCTGGAGCTTCGCAACCTAATGAACGGTGCAGTGTGCTGCGAATTGCTCAGGAATTCTTGATGCACCGTCTGGACTAGTTAGCCACTCATAAGCTTCTGAAATTTCTAGTGAACTGAAATATCCCAGTTAGTATAAACAAGGAATTAGTCACAAGGAATTAGTGGCGCACCGTCGGGACTAGTTAACTACTCCTAGGCTTGTGAATTTTCTAGTGAACTGGAATATCCCAATTAGTACAAACAAGGTTCTGCCTATCTAACTAAACAGGAAGTGACGGTGTGTACTGTCGCAGATAAACTGGGCAAGAGACGATAAATGATGTTTCGGTTCACCGACACTGGATGACAATGTGTCATGTGTTATAACCCAGATATCGAGTGTCGTTTAACCTTGGTGCTTTACGTTATCCCTCCCCGCAGTTCAAACTTGCTTGCTCGTATTCACATTATCGAGGTAATACTAACCACAAAGCCTGATCACCGCGCCTGTCTGTGCTATTTCTTCCAACCAGTTGCTGTGCAAACCCGACGTTGCAACTGAAGACCGCCCGCAGATGGGGGCGAGAATGTTCACCTCGCTGAACTTCCATAGGAAAGGCCACTTGAATATCTCAACTGGGTCACAATCCCATTAACATGAAGTGGTTTCACTTCTTGACGCAGTCTGATCTGTCTCGACGCTAGCTGATCATACATTTATAATCAAACGGCTTCTTGAATCTCGCCTGTCTACGGCTTATTCACGTCCAGTTCCGAGCGGCTTGGTTGCTTTAGCCATGTGTTCATTTCGTAGTACCCAACTATTGCACGGACAAAAGACACTCGGAAGCTACGTCGTCATCATTATCATCATCATTTTCATCATCATCTGCATCAGCATCATCATCATCATCATCGTCAACGCCATCATTATCAACAATGACAGGCGAATTAACGTGAAAGGGCAGGACTGCCACAATGAAACTCCAAATTCTAAGTTAGAAAGTCCGGAAAAACGTTGGTACAAAATCCACTTGGGTCGGTTTGATCCTTCAACTTACATCGTCCTTATGAAACACAGTGGATTACCTAGGGGTCATGTTGTACGATGTTGTACCCAGAAGTTTCAAATTCACGTCCCATTGGGCCGACTCAGATTAGATTTTGACGCATTTGTTCAGTTAACTTGTATGATAAATCACAGTGTAGTACGACACAGATCATCAATGCTAGTCATAGTACCCTATCAGTGTGAAGCTGAGGGCAATGTGTCGGAGATTTATTAATTTCATGCAACTTC